GGCAGGAACGAAGGAAGGAAGGAAGGACGGAAGGAAGGAAGGAAAAGTACTCCCAAGAATGCTATATTTATTTATTTATTTATTTATGTACTTATTTACTTATGTATTTTAGTATGTGTGTCTGTGTTTGAGTATGGGCACACAAGTGCCACTGCACTGGCTTGTATGTCAGAGGACAGCTTTCAAGTGTTCTCTCCTACCATGGGTTCTGGAGATCAACCTCAGGACATCAGGCTTTCAGGGCCTGAGTTCTGGAGATCAGGTTTGCAGGGCAAGCTCCTTTACTTACTGAGTTGTCTCGCCAGCCCTTTGTCTTCTATTCCGTGTCTGAGAGAACATGACCTGACATTTCCTGACAGCTCTGAAAAACGTTTGGAATTCAGCATGTGAATGTCAATAGATCTAGTCTCTTGGTTGTTGTGTGTTGTTATAAAAGGGTCAGAAGATGCTGTAAGCCTAAGCCTGGTCTTCCTGAGGGTCTGAAAAGAAACTGAAAGAAGTGTAAAATTATAGAAAATGATTCTATTGTAGTTTATTTCCAGATCTGAGCTCATGCCTGACATTTGTATGATTATCATTTGCCATGAATGTTGCTGCTTCTCCAGCTTTGTCTTTACCTTACCAGACCTGCAGCATCTGACATAGTCACCATGTTTCTTAGTTGCAGGACTGCATACCATGGCTTCTCTCTCCCTGACATGAGGCTCTGGAGGCCACATTTTTTAAATTGCCATCAGAATACATAGGCTGACCAAAGAATCAGCCCGACATATGACCCAAGTATAAGAAAAGGTATATGGGGTACAAGCAAAACAAACTAGGTACATATTTAACACAATTTCTATTTAAAGAGAACAAAATCATATGACACTAGGACTCTGTGAGAAAACCTAGGATATCTATTTCCCAAGTTCCTTTCCACTTCTGGCCTCTGTTGGGTGAAACAGACGTTGAAGTCCTCCATCTGTAGGTTGGTTGCTAGCAACAGAAGCTATCTTTTGATGACATGAGCAAATATATTCTTTAAATAACATGAAATAACTCACAAAACTGAGGAAAAATAAAAATCAGAACCAAAATTTAATGACAGAGGAGACAGAGACACGTGGTAGACGAGAAGAGACAGGAAGCAGTAAAGAAAGTGACAGGTTGTAATTATAACTAGGTAAGATGAGTCACAACCTTGGCTGGAACAGGGTGCGAAACTTTGACTACAGTCCTACGCACACTGCATCCAAAAGGAATCAGGTAGTTATCACCACCAGAACAGAGTATTTATACAGAAGTGGAGAATGGGTACCAGGCAAGCAAATACAACTAATCTGCATATTTTAAGCTTTAGATAACTGATTTTCATTTATGACCTATTATTACTGAGTACAGTTTCTTCCTGGGAAGTTCGATAAATATTGCCTGAGTCCAAAACATTTAACTCCGTTCTACATTTGTTTGTGTTGCAATCCTTCAAATATTATAAAGGCTAAAAAGAAACTTCAGAAAGCCCCCGACACAAAGATTTAATGTACATACATATATGTATATATAAACTCAAAGTTATTTCTTTTCCTTCATTGAACACTGAATGATACAGATAGGAAAACCGCATCAAGATCATGACCAACCGGTATAAACTGGAGCTTCGCTGCTTACATTTCCAAGGTATTGGTGCTCATCACTCAGACTGTTTCTTTTTCTTACGCAGATGGCAGAATTTTGTTAAGTGGCTGGACAGGGCTTCTTCTCATTTGTTGTCTGAGTTGCCTACAGGTGAGTTCTATTCCTTTTGCTCCTGAGGGACCTCATTTCTCAGCACTTTTATTAATGCCCTGCATGGCGTGAGTGGTTTATTTGCTGGGTTTTACCTCATTCTTCTCACAGATGTAAATGGCTCAGCAGTGAAGACAAAACTGAGACTTGCCTTCATAACTATTCTTTTCTCATTTATTTGAATAGTAAGAAGCCCAATTCTCCAACTTCATTTTATTATGTCACATTTTCTCATGGCAGACTTTGGCATGAACGCGGCACACTTATATAGGAAGTTGATATTTGACAGAATTTCAATCTCTTTGATCTAGGGGTCCTTCAGCTCAGTAAATTTATTTGGCAGCTCTATCACCAAATATCACACACACACACACACACACACACACACACACACACACACATATATAAGGAAAAATTCACAGGTACCAATAGAGAGGACTTAGATATATCACTTGAATGTATCACTACTTATAATGAAGAGACAGAAAATCCAACTAAATTGGCTTAGGCAAGGAGCAGATTTTGGATTCTGTAATTAAAAGTCTTAGAGCACTAGTCGCTACAGGAAGAGTTCAACTTAGCTGTACAAAGGTCAGAATCAAGGATCAGTTTGCCCTGATTTTGGCATCATTCTTGAGCTATATATAAGGCACTCTCCTGGCTCCTCCAGGTACTTGGCAAAATAGCTTAAGGTAGCCGTGGTCATTATGCCTTCACACATATGATACGTCCTGTCAAGAAGGAAGGTACTTTGCAATATAAGTAGCAAGTATTTCCTCTCCTACCAGAGGCACAGCTTCAGTTTGAGGTTCCTTTTTGAACCAAGGCTGTGGTTCAGATACTCTCAGAGACTTAGATTAATCAGAACAAACTTGGCACTGGCACTGGAGGTCAGCCCTCCCAACTGACTGCACTGGGACAGGAATGGACTGGTCCCAAAAAGCAAAATCTGGTTTCTATCTCCAAAAGGAGACAGGGAAGGGTGGAATCATCAGGAGGAAAATGAACGCTAAAAGCAAAACAGACAAAAATCTACTTCAGTGTCAAGGCACAGCCAAGACATCTTGTAACTCTTTGCTCACTCGACTTCCTCTTCACTTTCCTCGTCTGTAGCGACCCTCCCCTCTCAGCCATTGCTTGAACGCACCAAGGACTCCTGCCTAAGTTGATCTCCTTCCCTGTAACTTTTCAAGTCCTTCTTCTCCAGTATGTTTGCAAGAGTTGTTCCCATGTCTCTTGTCTGCTCAGGAACATAGTTAATTGTCACCTCTTAGGAGGCTTTGGGTGAATTCCTAAGTTAGCAACCTCTGTAGTTCCCATTTGTGTCTGTAATTTATCAGGGCCTGATGTTGCTCTGTATCTATTTCCTGACCCTCATCACTGGGTTGCACAGTGCCAATGGGTGAGCTCTAGGTTCAGTGCTTTTCCTTTCTAAAAAAATGTAAGGTGGAGAGTGACTGAGGAAGATACCCAATGCTGATCTCTGACCTCCACAGTTATATGTACACATGCTCAGAGCACATCCACACATGCATGCACACACAAACATGTACGTCCCACATGGACCAAACACTTCCACAAACACAAACACACAAAGCAGTTGAGGAAGAAAATTCATAGTGATCTCTGCATGCAGTCCTAATGGACTATATAACAAAAGGGATTTAAACTTGCTGTTGGAATTTAGGAAACACCCTTAACTATTTAAAAATTATTGACCACAACTGTGCTCCAGGTACTTATTTACTTCCAAGTCCATTTAAGTCTGACAGTAATCCAAAGGTATCTTTATCTCCATCTGACTGCACAAGGCTCCTGAGAGGTAGAGTTTGAGTAGGTTGCTCAAGGTCATACATCTCTTGAAGAAAGTAGTCAGGATTCAAACACATCTAGCCTCAGAAATAATAATCTTACCCACTGTAGTACACAACCTCCTTCCAACTTTGCTTAAATCTTTTGGCTAATTTTTAGTGAAATACTGAGACCCAACACTGAAGTAATCTATATTTGTTAATGGCATGTTTAAATGGTATGTAGCACTATCTGGTCACCACAGGGATTCACAGAACCAACAGCTCATCAAGTAGTTCTGACTGAATATCCTCTATATGCCTTGGAGAAATAAGCAGAGGGTTTTTCTTTGCATCTTTGGGTAGTCTGCTCTATTGGTGAAGCAGAAAGTACTATTTTTGTAGCAGGAGACTGCCTGCAGTTGTGAGGTGTGCACACCTCCTTCCATACAGGGCCTCTGGCCATGGAAAAGAACACAGGAGGAGGAAAGGAGAGGTGCCTGATTCTCTTGTGGAAAGCGTAGCACAGTGCTTGCTTAGGAGACAGGGTCACAGGAAAGGCCTTGGCCCTTGCTAAGATAATATAGGCCTTTCTGATTCAGGGTCTTCCACTAGCTGAACCCTTCCATTTGTCCTAATGACTCCACCTCATCCCTCAGGCCATCAGTTTGTGTCAAAACAATCAATCCCCACCACTCCTGCCCCTGCTCTCAAGCAAGTTTAAATCATTTCCTGTTTCCATGCATTTTTCCTTTTGTGGTATGTATGACAACTTGGTTAAATAATACTTTTGAGAAACTATTTAGTACCTTCATCCCTGGTCTGGAATCTGGAGGATGGAAACATGACATTTTAGTCACCAAATGTCCCCTTTGCCTAACACAGTGACAACCACCCAGGAGAGCCACAGTGTTTCCTTTGCCTCATGTATGTAAATGCTAAATGTGTGTGCAAAGCTCAACCCTTCCATTTTTTCCTTGTTTAGGGAAGAATGGAAAGAGAGCTCCAGAGAAGCTTGAGGTCCCTGAGAGCTCCCAAGGCAAAACTGAACATGTGGTATGCACCTGGGCATATGGGACTTCCAGAAGGGCCTCAGAGATCCTTGATCTTCTTTCCCTCTCTTGCTAGGTGGGGTTCTCCCTGTGAAATTTCATTTCTACCCAATCCCTTTATGTCAGATCATCTTTTAAGACTTGCATCACACACAGAAGGGAGAAGGAACTCATACAGTGTGGATTAGCTCCTATCCTAGCTAGTATGAAGAAGTCTCTTGTTTGCCACATGCCCCCAAGAAATTGTACTTGTAGCATGTGTACAGGTGAGCTTCCAAAGTTTGCAACTACCAACTCTCATCAGAATAAAGAATGGTCATGAGACCCATTTTAGGATCTTAAGTCCAGATTCCAGGAACTGAGAGTGGCCTTTCTACCAAGCATCACTTTTAAAAATGTAACTGGGTCTCTGATTTAAAAATAATAAATAAAAAAGCAAGAAAGAAAAAAACCTGGCAAGAAGTTAAAATCCATCTTAATATTCCCGGCATTTAGCTAGAAGACGTCGAAGAACTGAGAAACAGCCTGAGTTTTTCTATTGTTGTTGTTTTTAAGTGCGCAGATTAGAACATAATTCATCTTAAAATGATGGGAGGCCTCTTCATGCACTTCACACATTGAAGTATTTTAGAAAACAGGATCCTTTTTGGCAAGCCTCCTGCCGTGCAGTAAACAACAGCAAGTGCTTTTCTCCTTGAGTGTTAAGTCTGTTGTGAATAAGATTGTAAAAAAAAA